GCACAAATGTATGTATATGTCTGTATGTACAACACGCACGGCATATATTATTAGCGGATGCAGCAACGGCACCTCCATGTGAAAAGATCGAGACAATGATACGGAAAAAAGAAAAAGCACCTGCCGACTGCACTTTGCCGAGTACATGAGTTTGCAAGAGCAGTAGTGGTACTGGTGGCTCCTCTTTCGCGCATTGTATATATATGTATATGCTTTTTCTTCCTCCTAAAAAGGCCCAGCACGCGAGAAAGCTACACATATATATATACACGCATGGAGGCAGCCTCAAAGTCACGATGGACCCGCGGAGCGGCACTCCTGTATACTGCTACCGGAGGGTGAATTTTCGTGTGTATGTACATGTATGCGTGGTTATAAGTTTGATGATACACGCGCCAAGGGCCGCGAGCGCAGGGGAGAGTATAAAGGGAGGAACGGACAGCTAAAGACACCATGTGTGGATATGCGTGTGGCTGCACGTGTGAAAGGAAGGCTTCTTTTCGTTTTCCTTCCTTTATACATGGGACACACGTTCACGGGATGTATTAAACGCGGATGGAAGGTGGGCATCGGTTTAATGCCACGGGAGAAGAAAAGTGGTTTCAGCGCTCCGCAAAAGGAGGCGGAGGAAGCGGATATGTTTGCCTCCCTTTTTTTCGGCCCAGGGATTTATGCTCCGCGGGGGAGTAGTGCTCTCCACTACCTTATACTCTTCAGCCGGCTGGCCGTCTGACTATCTTGTTCTTTACTGTCATCTTTTTTTTTTTTTTTTTTTCCCCACGCAACTAGTCCGCGCGACTTTTTCTTTTAAGTGCTCCGATGGAAGGGCGCGATCGACCCCCATTTTGTTACGCAATTGCAGATTTTATTCAGATCGGCCGAGTCGGTCGAAAAGTACGAGAGACGCGAAAGTTAAATTTAATCATGTACGTGGGTTGTTTGGCGAGCTAGACGAGGCAAAGTGGAAAAATAAAAGTAAAAGAGGGGGGTACATCGTTTCATTCTCATTTGAATACCAATATCGATGCAGTAGGATTTCCGCGCTTCTCTCCTCGGATCGTTCGTCCACGAGCTTTTTGGCTAATTTGCGACGCCAGTAATCACCTTAGCCATCGCGGGCTATTGGATTGCAATGCCAATGCGGTGTTGGGTGCTGTAGGATTATTGCATCGTAGGCGTCGAGGGAGGGGCTCACGTGTACATGCAGGTACACCTATTTTGAAACTCGGTGCTGTGAGGCAACGAACTTCTCTCGATTTCCGCAAAATTTCTTCGACATACCCCGAGCGTAGAATTCGAGGTGTGTGTGTGTGTGTGTGTGTGTGTGTAGAGGTGCACGGGGAGCGAGTTGCAAGTTTCGAATACTCACTGATATTTTCAAACGGATGATCGGCATTGTTTGACGGAACCACAAGATTTTTCTTCGCCCGACGAGGAATTTCGTTGCCTGTTTTGAGTGTTATCCTGTTTTTAAAGATGCTGCAGTGTGATGGTGACTCTAATTGGTATAATATTTCTTTAAATTTGCGCCTGACAGGTAAATACGATGGATTTGCTCTCGTTTGGATGCACAGTACGCGGGATTTGAGTGCTCGAGTGAAAAAAAAGTGTATTTTTTGCTTTTCAAAGTATACCTATGCGTATACACATATACAGGTGGATTGTATACATGAAAACGTATTTTATCCAAGATACGGTAAATTTTCCAGGTGCCACAGATGTTTTTTTTTTTTTTTTTTTTTTTTTTTTCATCCCGTGTGATCTTGAGTACATGCATTACCTGTGCAAACAGGAGCAGAGCTGCATATAAAAGTTACCCCTTTCACTGTGCGGATATGCTTTGAATTTTTGAATGGCAGCTCCTGTATATGTGCGTCGATCGAGAAATACATAAGTATACAGGGGATAGAAGACGGATCGGACGCGAGAACTTTTGCGGATGTGGAAGGGATGTGCCAGAGTGAGCTAAACAACATTTTTTTCTTCAAGGATTTTTTTTTTCCGGCACTCGTCGCGTAGTGTGTTTTTGCGCTGGCACTTTTTTTTTCGATTTTTCGAGACCCAAGCTTATAGAATAACCAAACAAACACCACACAAAAGAGCCGCGAACGGAAATAAAAAAAAAAAAAAAAAAAAAAAAGAAATACCCTTCATCCAAAAGTGTTCCCAAATCGTTTTCATCCCGAGTCATTTGTTCTCTACTTTGGTTCTCATGGTTTTCCTTCCTGTAAATCATTTCATAGGATGTCTCGTGTTGCTAAGGCTACGTTGTAACTCTTGCAATGTCTTTTTTCTTCGAAACAAATTTCAAATCAAATTATACGTGTATTTTGCAGAAAAAAAGTTTTCTTTTTTTGCTCGACCTTATTTTATACCTTCGCGACGCGAGACAGGTGGACATGAGCCTTTTAGCTATATATTTTCATACTTGAAGTAGTGATTGCGCATGCCAAGATATATAAGAACAAAAAAAAAAACAAAAAAATTATTCTCACATCTCCCGCCTCTCTGCGAAAGCAGCCGAGGATTTATACATAATGTACGCGTTACAGTGTATATGTGAATTTTTTATCGATCCGGACTTTTTATATCGTAAAATTTTTCATCTCGCCAGTCTTGACGAGATTTTCGTCTGCGCGTGTGAACGTGAGTGCGAATGGGTTTCTCATTTTTTCAATTTTTCTCCTTCAATAATACACATGTTTTTTAAAATTACATATATGTACGTTTTTTCCCTCATGAACGCATGTACAGTGTGATTGGGCGTGCGAGTGGCGCTATGGCGAAAACTTCAGTCTTGACGAGGCGATTTTCAAAAAATCATGAAAAATTTCCTTTTTTTTAAATTATTGTTCAAGTACAAAAGAGACTAGAGGGTCAGTTTGAAAATGATTTTACAAAACAAGCTTACAGTAAAAATATCCATGTAAAAGTAATGGCCAGCCAGAATTTAAATGTAGATGCCAGAGTAACGATATCCTTCCTTGAACTGACAATTTGTCAAATGCCACACTTTTTATGATACAACAATTTTTTTTTCTTTTTTTTTCATATATTTGTTAATAAATACAACAACACATTTTGCGATAACATTTTTTGAAAACGAATTTTGACGAAAACTATTTTTTTTTTTTCCAAATTTTTTGGCGACTTTTGCCGGCGCAGACATGACTACCAGTGAGTATTCAAAACTCGACAGTTATCATATTTTTTCGTCTCTCTGTTCGTCTGTGAATTTTTGTTGATCTATTGATTTTTTTAGATTCTATTTTTGAATGTCATATTTTTTTAATCATGACTAAAGGATACATTTTGTGTGAGACGATTGTTTTTTGCATCTTAGTTGTGTATATTTTTTAAACTAATTTTCGAAACTCAGCAAACAAAAGAAAAGTGTGCGCTGAATTTTTTTGCGAAAATGTAAACAAATATTTTTGTTCAACCGCGAAATACGCCGTACACTACTAGTAGGGTTTTTCGTCCGTACGTCCAAAAGTACTTTTTTATGCGTCGGCCAGCATACACTATTTTTTTCTCGCGAATATAATACACGTATATGCACATTTACACGAGCGAATGAGTCACGGGCGCGGACAGCGTCGCACGCGACCGCCGAATAATAATTTTTCGTTAACGCCATTTTTTGGCCAAAGCGTGTGTAAATTATTCCATGGCCATCAAGCAGATATGATGTGGAGCAGCAATAAATGATCGCAAACATTTTTTTTTCTTTTTTTTTTTTTTTTTGATAAGTCCCGGGCTAGATTTGATAAGTTCGTACTCGTAAAAAAAATATATACATTTTTTACGACAGTCGTAAATCACTCGGTTTTTATACCCCATTAAAAATTAAAATGACCACCGTTTCGATGGCTCCGATAAAAGTAATCGAGCATTACCTTTGTTGCTGTTCATTTTTATTTTGACAAAACCCAAGCAGCATTATAACACTCTTCCACATATATCCATTTTAAGTGATAATTTCGTTCACGTAAAAATTATCAATAAACTAATTATGAAACTAAAAAAAAAAAGCCAAATTATCAATGAGGGGCAAAATCGCGGTCTTGATGTGTACACAGTACACAAAAAAAAAAAAAAAAAACGGATTGTCCATAAAGGTGATTTTTAATTATTATTGTTTTAACCCGCAATGCGCATACTACAAGTAATACATGTAATATTAATCACCGTACGTGTACGGAGAATGAGAATTTACGGGCACACAGATACATAATATGTTGTACAAAGGAGACATAATAATACATGACGCACTAAAAGCTTTTCGCCAGTACAATGTGCTTTTTTTCTCTCTTTCTCTCTATGCGTGTCCATGCACTCGTATGTACGTATTTATATTCTACGTACACGTATCCCATGTATACGATGCATATTTTTAATTTGATTGCGTTGAAAAATAACGGCAAACAGCAACGTTTTCCCATACCACCACAAGCACCACCACGTAAAATACAACCGGGTCGAGTAACCAAATTTGAAATTATCAATCAAACGAGACTCTTTTTTTTTTTTTTTTTTTTTTTTTTTGTTTCCCCCTTTTTTTTTTTTTTTTTAAAAAAAAAAAAAAAAAAAAAAAAAAAAAAAACAGAAAAGAAAAGATCTCTCAACCAGTGTGTTTGAACTCTCGACGGTTCTCCGGCAATGAGTCGCGTAATCACTCCCGGATCCTTTCATTAACTTTCAAAGCTGACGCCCGTGAAGCGTTAATGAGATTTGGAGTGAATTCCTACTCAACGTATTCCTTTTATCTCCTCCATCCTGGATTAGATTTCCCAAAGTACCGACAGCTCAGCGATTGATCGCCTCTCTCTCGTAGAATCGGTCGCGGTGTTTCGGTACATTCCTTCCCCATAAAATATAGCTAAAAATCCACCACATGTACATACACACATGGACACAAACACAAGGCCACCCCCCCCCACCCACGTCGAGAGTTCAAGCGAGAGAGCCCCGTCCCTATAATCGAGTATTACACACAGTCCCCGCGGCTCCGCCTCGTAACGTAACCGGCCATCCGACGAGCTCGACGTCCATACTGGTTAAGTGGGATCCCCCGCCGGCCGAGCGGAGCAACGGCCGGATCGCTTACTACAAGCTGTATTACGTGGAGAACGGCCGCTCGGACAGCGAGTCCTCGATAATAACCCTCAACAACACCGAGTTCACCCTCGACGAGCTGAGAAAGTGGACCGAGTACAGGATATGGGTGGTGGCTGGTACGAGTGTCGGCGACGGGCCGCCCAGCTACCCCATAACCGTCCGCACCCACGAAGACGGTATGTATCACCAACTTGTGCCGCACAGGCGCGTTTTACAATTTTTTTTTTGTTTTTTTTTTTTTTCTCAACACTCTTTTTTTTCCACACCGCTCGCGACTGTTCAGAACAGCCGCGTCTCGGAGATGTGTGACTCCTCTCGCCTGGAACTCGACTTTTACATGGCACCTCTTTGCGTTCGCCTTAAAACTTCATCCGCCGGGAACATTTCATTGGCTTTCAATGTTCTATACTTGATTTTTCCGCGTTAAAGATTCATACCGATGTTAAGTCTATTTCGATCTGTGATGGAAATATTTAATCACCGATCGATAAAGGGTTTGGCCAAACTCGAGTTTCCAGACGCGAGAGACGGGGTCACTGAGTAATCGGATTCAGCTCATACGTCATATATGTAAGCGTTCAAAGAAAGAACCAAAAATATAAAAGCCTGCCAAAAATTCGACTGTCGCTGAAAATGCGCGTGGTATTTGTTGTGCTATCCAGTGCGAGACGACAAAAGCCCGTGGCAACGATTTTTATGCGAACTTTTCGAACCGGTAACCATTAATTTCAGCAAATTGTCAATCAGTTGGCTAATATTTTTTTACATATAAATATGGAAACATACGCGTGCTCTGCACCATCTCGATTTTAGATTCTAAAAATATAATGTTTCGTCCAATCGACTAAGTACTATTGATACCTTACCTCCTTCAATCTTCAAATGACCAAATCAATTTATTCCCAATTCATGATTGCCTTTTTTTATATGTATAACTCGATCGTCTTTTTGCATTTTTAATAATTTTTAATAATTTTTTTTTTCAATAATTCCTTCCTATNTTTTTTTAATTTTATATTTGTTTTCGGTTAAACAACGATTCATACGTTCGACGAAACGGTACACATAGTGACTCCGCAGCGTCGCTTTATTCACCGTAGCGCGAGAAAATAAAATACACACGGAGGGGCCGGCGTCTGACGCTTCGGCTAATAAACACACAATCATCACTCGATTATTAATTAATCATGGACTCTCCAAACGAAGTATACAAATCGCGATTTCGGCCGCGCGACAGTTAATACAATCTCGGCGTTTGCGAATTTTGGTAATGTACGCAATGTAGGTAGACTGTGGCATAATATAATCACATAGCGGCGGATAAAAGTATATTATTGGTATTCAAATGGAAAACAAGCAAAAAAAAGTTGATAGGCTCGTGTAATCTAAAGTGGGATTGAACAATTTCACGCGCATATGGTGTACCTGTGCTTTGTGCGTCTCTGATGGGTGTATGTGTGCGTAGAGCGTTTTTTGATTGATCAACCATGTTTTTCCCGATGCTTTGTATCACTCGCATCATCTTCATCTCCACATTTGTTTTCTTTGCTTTCCTGCAAATTACACCCACTTTTATTTTCTCTCCCTCGCTTTTTGTATAATTTCAACCTCTTGCTTTATTGTTTTCATCATCATCATTTAAAACATCGATTCAATGTAGCCGTTATACTTTTAGTTGTTATTTCCTTTTTTTTTTTTCCCATTTATTATTTTATTTTAGTCGCAAAGACCTTGCAGAAAAACAAAAGTCATCGCCTGTCGCCCTGTGTGCACACAAAAATTCAGATTTTACAAAGGTTCAATGAAACTAAGTATTTTTTCGCTGCCCCGACTTGATTATTTTTCTGCAAGGTATACATATAGTATATACATATTTATTATTACACAGATTCACTAATTTGATTTTTCATTTACAGCCATTTATTTATTTATTTATATACCATTATGTTACGTTATCGTTTATACATCATATTATAATTTATATGCTTTTGTTTAAGATTAGATTTGTTTTTGTTTTTTTTCATTATCTTTTATCCGTACAAGCACGCATTATTGCAGTATACGTTAGAGTGCATATATAGTGTTATCGTTAATTTTTTAATTTATCGATTAGCGAAAAGTGCGCGAGTGTATACGATGCAACTAGCGGTCATCACCAGCGGGTGTATCGCTGTAGTCTGGGGTGTGAATGGGCGAGCAAGTGTTGATGAGTTTAGTTGAGCTTGGGGCACGTAGTGGAGCGAGCTGTACTTGGGGGGGATGGCCTCGTATATAATTATGCAGTAGGTGAACGGGCGGGTGGCTCTCCTGCTCGGTATGGGAGAAGAGAGCTGATGCTGGGGGAAGGGAGCGTAGGTTGAGGAGTCAAGGGCTTTTCTCGCGAGAGAGATGGACCGAAGGCTCGATTCGAACGGGATAAGATCTCTCGCTCGCGAGAGCAGTCTCGCGCGTGTATACAATGCAGTCGAGGGTATACACGGGGGAGGACTGCCATTCAATCTATCGCCTTTGTGCCCTTTGGATCACTTTTCTGCACCAAAAAAAAAAAAATGAGTTGTTTTTTTTTTTCATTTCTTTCCTCCCGCACGTACACTCCCACCGTATAGCTCCTTGAATTGATCCAAAAGCCGCGATTGCACGTTGGCTGCGGTGCAGGAATGAGAAGCGAATCGCAAAAATGAAGACGTTGGCGGTCTAATTTGGTAATTGCAGGTCACGATGCTATTATATATTTGCATTGGCGCATCTGCGCGACAACGGGACGGGGGGGAGGTTTGCGGGCGACACACAACGTGCGAGTACACGTATACACGTATAGTAAACGAGTGGGAAAAAGATTGCGTGTCGCGGGGCTTCACTGGTGGAAAAAGAGACAATAATGACANTTTTGAAGAGCGTTGGCCTAAAATTTTTTGGCTGGAGAAATTTTATATTTTTGGAAATTTTTGGCGTCTGAATCCCCGAAATTTTTGTCCCACCCAAGTTAGAAGAAAGAAGAAAAAAACTTTTTTTACAGGTTAGATGCAGCCACGGATTTTTCGATAGCTGATAATGACATTTTTGAAATCAGCAACGAGCGATACCTAATGATAATGTATAACTATTTTTGATAAACTTTTTTTAGGATTTTTTAAAAAGATTTTTCAACAATCATTTTAAAAGTGATGACAGTAATAATAACCGACTCTCCCTCTTTTCTTTAACGGTGGTGAATACTTTTTGTTCTCATCACATACGATTTAAAATAGCAGAAAAAAAAAATTAAAAAAATTTTTTTTTCATCATACTAATCAACTACATTCTCATCTAAAACTCATGAATTTTTTCTTCTCTTTTTTTAAAGCATTTACAGGAGGATGATGATGATGATCCAGGTTTTGATAATAAAAAGCAATTAGTAATTTAAGACTCAATACTTACAACTCTATGTTCTCCTACTTACCTCGTAATAATCTTATTCATTATTCTACTTTTTTTCTCTACTCATCTCTCATTTCACGTGAATCCAGTTAAATTATTCGTACTCTTTTTTCAACATTTCTTTTTTTTTCCACCTATTATTCACCTGCATAACGTGTAATAAGGTTATAAAAAGTAAAAAAAAAACAAAAAAAAAAAAACGATACCGCAGACAGAGGCAAGTACAGCTGGTCGGGAGCTCGGTGAGATTCGCGTGGCGCGTGCCTCGCGCCCGGAGTTATCTCCTCCCCGAGACGTAATAGAGAGGCTCCTCTCCCATGCCCATACGCGCACGCTCGTTCTCACGATGATTCTCTCCTCCGTTCCTCGAAGCGCGACCATCGCCGCATGGGCCAACTTATACACACCCTTCACTGCACCTACGCCGTCGAGGGCTTCTTTGCATAAAACACCTTTTATTCCCTCCTATTATCCCCCAAGTGTGTGCATATATATATATATATATACAGGAGCACCATGGGTTTTTCCGCTCTATGCACACACGCATGGACGAACGAGCGATACAAAAGGCGTTACGTATACCACACGAATGTTTTTTTTGAATAAGAGTCGATCCGTGCGTTATGTATTGTATACACGACACTATGGTCTAGGATGAAATGGCTCTCTATTTGATTGAGGCCCCTGGTTGCGCATTAAATGAGAAATCGATCGAACCTTTCCGCGTACACGAGATTATTTTGTCACGAAAAGTATGTATATATGTAGACCGAACGATCATGTTTTGACGGAATTCGCGAGGGCAGAGGTGATAATCAGTGGACACGAGCATGCGCGAGATCGACGACACAATATTTCGTCGCAGATAATTAGGGCACACGATCCGTGGAGTGGGCGGGCGGTATGAAGATACAATTTGCATATTTTAGATTAACCACGGGGACAGGCGTTTGGAGAGCGGTGCATTATGACGCGGTGTATATTATCATCTTGTGTATTCATTAGCGACGCGCTGCCTTTCGTTCGATCATTATGATAACGTTGACAAAAAATGCCACCTACGCGAGCCAGGTTTTACGAACACAGCATCCGTGTGACGGCGATTCAATTAAAATTACAAATGAAACACAAAAAGAGAGAGAGAGGAGAGATGAATCGGGAGCTCGAGTTGTGCATGGAATTAATTGAATAATCAACAGGATACAACACATCGATGGTGTTCCAAGGGCTGCAGTCAAACGTAACTTTTGGATGAAGTTTGCAAAGAGCCCCAGGTATACCGGGGACAACCAAACGGGGGTAAATACGCATTTTGCAAAAACCGGAAGAAGCTCCGTGTGTCTCGCTTCGGAGTCGAAACGGGGCTGGGAAATTAAAATGCGCGTAGAAGAGAAAAAGCGTATTGTCTCTCCTTCCATTGCGTCGTTTCGGGCCATACTCCAGGACGCGGTGGGGGTATATAATGTCGTGTCCCTCGTTTTTTATTTCCTCGCTCGCATCATCTTCCGCGCCTCCTCGTCGTCATCTGTGTACTCGTATATACCTACGGCACATCTGGACGACGGCATAATGACTTTTTGATTACGCGGCCCGTGTCGTTTGCCCGAAGAAGTATATATATATATACATGTACGTGCACTGTGGCTCTGGGAAAAAGAATAATAAAGTTGTCGCAGCGGATGCAGGGGAGCCCGCGGTGCACGCCAATGAAAATCGCTGTTACAGGAGAGTCGATGGCTGCGAGCGAGAGGATTCG